ATATATATTTCTTCATTTAAGTTGCCGTACAAAAAAGCTGTTTTAAACATCTAGTTGATGTACCTTGGCATTATTATACGCTGCCCATGCTAAGAAAACTCTTATCGTAGTGTGTTTCACTACTGGTGAAAAAGTTTCATCATAATCACTGCCGTATTTTTGAGTAAATCCTTTGGCTACTAAGCGTGCTTTGTATTTTATATTTTTACCAGTTTCATCATATTTTGTCTTAAACACCCATTTGCTGCCTACTGCATGTTTTCCTGGTGGTAATTCTGTAAGTTTATAGGTTTCATTTTCTTTTAGAGAATGTATTTCTTCTTGCATAGCCTTGATCCAAGCTTCTTGTTCACGTTTTGGTAAGTTTAGAATTTCTTCAAAGCTTTCTGGATCTTTAATTTTAAGTAAGATTGATTCTTCGTCTTCTGCTTTATAAGAGAATCTTTCCGGTGGGACCCCTTTGGTTGATCTGCTAGAAACCCTTCTTTCTACATTTTCTTCACATTTAATTAACTCTTCGGAACTTTTTGAATCTTCTGTAAAATCATCGCCAAGAGATGTTTCTTCATTATTTTCTTCATCATTCTTGCGAGTTATTGAAGTGAATTAATTCTAAATCTTCAGCATTATTTTCTGCAAGTTTGTCAGGTAAAGACGCGTTTTCTGAAAATTTAACAGTTCTACTTACTACATTATTTTTCTTCCACCTACATAAATCCTGTATCCCTTACTTCGTAAATCGTATCCTACGAATATTCCTTCTTCAGCTCTGTTGTCGAATTTACGCCGTTTTTGTTTGTTCACATAATAAAATGCTGTACAGCCAAATACTCGTAAGTGACTTAAGTTTGGTTTTCTACCATTCCACAATTCATATGGTGTTCTATCTGTGGCTTTAGTTGGTAACCTATTTTGAAGATATGCAGCAGTAGCTGCTGCTTCAGCCCAGAATCCTTTCGGTAATTTAGAGTTTATTAGCATAGCTTTTGTCATTTCTATTAAAGAGCGATTTTTCCTTTCTGCGACGCCGTTCTGTGCCGGACAATAAGGAACCGAAGTTTGGTGAAAAATGCCGAGTTTCTTTAAATAATTTTCAGTACTTTCGTTACAGTATTCTGTACCGTTGTCGGATCTGAGAACCTTTATTTTCTTTCTAAATTTATTTGTTGTCGATGCAACATACTGTTTAAGTTTGTCGAATACTTCATCTTTTGAAGTAATAAAATAAATTTGAGTATAACGCGAATAGTCATCAATGAAAGTTACGAAATATCTTTTCCCTCCTAAGCTGTTGACTTCAATTGGCCCACACACATCTGTGTGCACTAAATCCAGTGGATTTTTAGATCTAAAACTAGTTTTGGGATAAGGTGTTTCAGTTAGTTTCGCTTTTACACAAGTAGAACATTCCACACTATGAGTGCATTTGCCAAGTTTAATGCCGTCTGCCAAATCATTTTTCTCAAGTGTTTTTATGGCATCTATATTTCTGTGGCCTAATCTTTGATGCCATTTTAGTATACAGTTCGTATTTGAACATGAAACATTATTAGCTAAGTATGCTTTCTCATCAATTGGGTTTACGGTCAATTTATATAAACCTTGCTGAGCGTTGCCGTCGGCTACGAGTATATTGTTACGCTTTATGTAACACTTATTACTATCAAATGTAACAATGCAACCTTTATTGGTAACAGATTGAACAGAAAGTAAATTACTATCTAAACCTGGTACATACAATACATTTTCCAATTTTATTTGTGTAACCTGACCCTTTAAGTTTTGAACTTTAAAATAACCTTCACCAATACCATAAGAATTTAATTTAGCACCATTGGCTACAGTTACTATTTGTTTATTAGAGTCATTTAACTGAGAGAAAAAATTCTTATCACTCGTCATATGAGTTGAGGCTCCCGAGTCGATAACCCATTCTTGCGTTTGCGTGTTTTCATGTTTATTTTCCACTTTTAGAACTTGATTAAACTGAATCTGCGAATTTTCAGTTTCAATACTTTTAAAATACTTATTTTCTTTAAGTTTTGTTATGTTTTCTACACTTTGCGTATTTGCTATTTGGCATGCATTACTTTTATAATTTTGAGAATAATTTCTTACTTTACTATTATTTACATCTGTTTTCGGGGAAGTTCTAGCGTTGCGTTTTAAATGAAAACAGTCATTTATCGTATGGTTATTTCTCTTACAATAAGTACAAAATTGTGTAACATACTTTGGTTTATTTTCGCTTTTACTTTTTAAAGCAACTGAATCGTACTTTTGAACTTTCTTAGTTTCCACACACGTCTACAATACTCATCTATTAGTTTGTTTTTAACATATTCTAGCGACAATTCAGCTTCCGATTTACTTTCTATTGCAGTTATTAAGGAGTTGTATGAATTTGGTAAAGAACATAGTAGTATTGCTATTAAGTTATTTTCTTTAATTTCTTCACCTATACTACGCAGCTTTTCAGCCAATTCTAGTACTCCTTTGATATGTTCCTGCATTTTAGAACTTTCATTATATCTAATGGAATATAGTTTTCTAAGAAGAAATAACTTATTTGTTAAATTTACACGTTCATGGACACATTTTAACTTCTGCCAAACTTCTTTTGCAGATTTACTATGTAAAACATGGATAATTTGCGAATCCGAAATGTTTAGACATATTTAAAGCTTTAGCTTTACGATCATTCTTTAACCAAATATCAGTATCAGTTTCCGGTTTTTCTTCGAATACAACATCATCTAAACCTTCTTTTATTAGAAGTTGTTTTATTTTAAATTTCCACACTGAATAATTTTCATCTGTTAATTTTTCTATACAAATTGATTCTTTTAGAATAGACATTATTACTTGTTACAATTATTCTTATAAACTTTGTAACTAGTATTTTTTCAACAAAGAGTTTTAACACTTTATGCCCCTGGAATCTTACAACATTACAAAATTTCAATTTCTCAGTCTCATAATCACTTTGTTGGTTGTGCATTAGCACTGAAGGCGTAATGAGTACGTTTCCTCAAGCACAGAATTAAAGAATCATAAGTCAAAAGATTAACTACGAATTCTTTATTTAATAAAATAGGATAATTCTGCTTAACTTAAGCATAACAATAAAGTAATAATGTTCACGGACATTAAAACACTGAAGTATTGAAAAGAATAACTTACAGAGAATCATCATCAGTCCTAAATATCATCAGGCTTACCTATATTAGGCAATAAGAAAAATAAACAGGAATATACTTTGCCATAGTACCTGAAAGAGAAGAAAGTACTACTGGATTAGACCTTTGGCCAGGTACAAGTAGCTAGGGTGAAAATCAAATATACTGCATTGCACACGAGCTTTACTTTCTCTCGCCAATATATACCTTGGCGCACGTTTGTTTCGTATGCCTTTCGAGTTTCATTATGCAAAATACCTAAATTTATGCTAACAGAAATCAATTACAATGAGGATGTATTTGCTGCCATCAGCAGTTCATGGCAGAGGTCTCAGGATGTCAAGGGCAATACATTCATTATGTTTAAAAAGGTGTTCTTATATTGTAATGTTGGAACTTCCCTTGGCTGCATTTCTTTGCTCCTTTCCGACCTGCACAAGCATGCCATGATTGCCACCATTTTTGCACATCAGCACTACTCCAGTAGAAGTGCTCTCAAACTCTATGCAAAGTCTTAAGAGCCCTCCTGTAACATTGCTAAGTAGTTCTTTAAAGACATCAGGGATCTTGAAAGTACCATCTGCCATCAGAATGCCTTTCCACAATCTGATTCGAATTTCCTATTTCAAACATGGAGTGAGACCCAGAGAGCCCAATACTGTTTTGTTGGGACTACAGATCAAAATGTGCTGCCAGGTAGGTTTTCTGTTTGAAGATTCCATAAAGTCAATTAAGGGCTTAATGTCACCATCTTTCAACTGGTCTTTCCTGACTTCTTTGTCACTCCATGGGTTTTGAACAGCCCATGGAACAGAAAGTTCAAGTCGTAATTTGTTGTGTGACCGGATTAAGCAGCTCGTATTTTGGTTTGACTCTGAAACAATAGTGGCAGCTTTCTGGCCACAGTCTTCTAGACACGGCATTGGCATTTCCATGAGATAATCCCTTCCAATGATGGATAGTTATGCCCTTGGAAACAGAATACACTTCATTATTTTTTAAGTCCAATTTAAAATTATTTTTCCTTAGAAAGCCCAATCTAAGTATACAAGGTTGTGTAATATCTGCCACATATGGCATGTGATGGTAGGCAGCACTTCCAAACATGATGTTAATGTTTAACTTCCCAACAATTTCGATTTCATCACCACACACTGTCTGGAGGGTAATGCAGGGCGGCGTCCAGATAAGTTTATCTTTCAACTGTTGACTAAATCTTTCCGCATCATGGCAATATCAGCTCCTGTTTCAATGGTTATGTTGCAAGGAACTGCATTGATATGTCCCATGATACTAAGTTCATTACTGCCACCACTCACCGCAGAAATCTTATGCACTTTATATTACTGTTTTTGTCGCCAAAGCCGTTATCACTTTCGCCAAATTAGGAAGATAACCAATGTTAAATAGACTTGTCCCTGTATTCTTATTTTTACAGCACAGCACCCCCTCTTTAGAATTTCATGTTACTTTATAGAGGAAAATTTCACATATAATTTCACTAAAATTATCCATATATGTAAAAATTTTATAATAACAGAAACATAGCAACTCCATATTTAAAATTTTTATATAAACTATGTTTCCTATGCTATTTCTTCATGGCGATTACTGCAGTATCTAACAATATCTGCGTATTTATAATAGCATATAAGATCAGTAAAAATTTAGCGGTTTCTGTTATTTTTCATTGCATTTTTAAAGAAAGAACCTTCTAGAAATCATTTAAAATGATATTTACAACATTTACACTCTAAAACCACTAAATTTAATTTATACCAGAACTAACTTTTGCATAATATATCTATTTAATTTCCACAGGACTGGAGTGAATATGAAAAACATCCTAAGGATCATGGTCAAATGCATGCTGATGGATATGAAAAAGTAAGCCATACCTGGTTTTTAAAAATTATAAACCTTCTTCTTTTTGAACATCTTTATTAAATATTATATAATACTCTAAACCAGCAGTTCTCAATAGTGGCGTAGCTAGCATAACTGGCGCCCGGGGCACGATACCTTCTGGCGCCCCCTTCCCTAAAAACATATAGTAGTGTAATATATAGAATATACTCGTAATAAGAATATAAGACAAAAATAAAAGGTTACAGTACCTAACTTAAAATATTTTATAATATATTACGAATAATCACTGCAAGTACTCTTCCACGAAATACTGTTCTGTTTTTCGAGATATATAGGGACACAGGCTCAGGTTAGGCTTGAGATAATTTGAGCCAAAAGAAATTTAAATTTGAGGCAAAAGAATCTTGTTAAAAAACCAAGACTGGAATTGGATTCAGAAATCTGTCTGTCAGTAAAAATATCGGACATACGGTCATCTAGAATACGTTAAAGATGTTATTTATTTAACATACTTAATTAATTTTAAAAAAGTACAATTTTCAAACAATTTAATATATATAAGGTATATATTTATTATATATAACTTGTAACCTTATATATATTAACTTGTATTTAATAATACAAGTTAATATATATAAGGTTACTATATTTCATTATAATATAATAAATGAATACCATTAATTATATTTTTCTTGCCATTGATGAAGCAAATTTATCAATTACTTCATCAAAGTCGATCATTTAAAATTTTTCTCTTTCTACACTTTAAAATGCTAGGTCACTTAGGCGATCTTGTCCCATCGTTGATCGTAGATGTGTCAAAATCAAAATTAATTTTAACTTGCTGAACGAATGTTCACAGCTAGCAATTGATAGTGAAATAGTAAGGAGTATTTGTAGAGCGACTCTTCAGGTTTGGAAAAACATCTTCTCCATACGATATTATAAAGGTAAGAAGCTGTAATGGAGTTTTAGGTTAATTTTTTCTACTGGTGAGTAACATCTTGCATTCACATATTTCGACATACTGTTCCATTAAAATCTGTATTATAAAATTCACCCAAATTTTTACAATTCTTTTCAAGATCCTTATCAATATTACCCTTGATTAATAAATTTTCAACGTCCAGTAAAAATCCAAATTTGGAGTAAGATCACTTAGTCGTGTAAATCGCTTATTTATTTTCTGCTGCAGATGATCAAGAACGCTTCTCTAAAATTCATTTTAGGATCTTGTAACCTAAGCTGCACACGATCAATTCTCCTCAAGATTTTATGCCAGAAATGGACTAAAGTTATGAAACTAAATTCAGCATATTTTGCAATGAAAGTGCAGCTTCACTTCTGGTGTCACTTGTGGTAGTAGTATCCTCTGCTAATTTTTCTAATAATTCTACTAATTCTTCCAGTTCTCCAACAATAACGCTAACCGCTTCTGCTTTAGCGCTCCATCATGTTTCAGATTCATGTTTAACAGTTTTCTTTGAATCATTTTTTAATAATTCCCATCGTAATGTTGAACGTGAGAAAAAGAGATATACATTTTCAATTATTCCAAAGCATGTTGTAACGATTGGATCATGCTTAGCTGCACTGACTCCTACTAAATTTAATGAGTGGTTATCACAATTTACAAATAATGCTTTATTATTTTTTTTTCCATAATTCTGTGTTGAATGCCAGATATGTGACCTGACATCACGACAGCATTATCATAACATTGTAATCTACAATATGTTAATGAAATCTGATGGGAATTTAATTTTTCTAAAATTGTATTTTCAATTGAGGCTGCATCTTTAGCATGTATTTCAATGAATCTTAAAAAAGATTCTTTGATGGAAACTTTTCTATTGGTAAAATCAATATCTACATACCTAAAGACTTGCGACATTTGTTTTTCGATGAGTAATATCAGGAGTCGAATCAAATGAAAGTCCGTAATATTTATTTCTTTTGATGTCACTTATTAATTGATTTCGAACTATGGATGCCAAAAGATGAATAAATTCATTTTGGATTTGTGATGATAAGTATGAGACAGTTCTTGGCGTTTCTATGACATTTTTTAGATGAGTAGCTAGCAGTGAATCAAGCTGAGCTACAAGTTTAAGTAAAGATAATAAGTTTACGACACTTGTACCGTCTTGAAGCGTGAATTTCAACGTGACCACGTAGAGGAAGAATTTGTATAATCATATACTTCATACGAGCTAATATCCGTTGCAATATGTTTCGCCACCGTTCTTTTTCAGACTGTATATTTGCTTCTAATGATTCATCATTCCCGTTTTATTAATTAATCTTCTTTCCACGTTGTAAACGATTTTTGATGAATTTGACTTCCTTCATGGCTAATCAATTTATCTTTTTTTCTCCATATATTAAAACCAGATGCTGTTGCGAAAGTTGACTGTGTACCGGAGTTTGATGTAACAAACAGTAAACAACAAAATCAGTACGCTGCATTATTTTTTGGTGAATATAATAACCGAGATCGATATATTTCAGTTTCTTTTTCATTACCGATTCGTCGATAAAACCAAGATTTTGGTATTAGACGATTAGTTGATTTTGCTCTTGCATTTCGACTGGATTCGTTTTGAAATACGCGGCATCCACGAATAATCATTTCAGTGCGAAGATGGTTCGATATTATTGGAAGATTATTAGAGAATTTTAAATAAGCAACATCTTTGAACTCTAGAATGTACGGAATTGCAGTGAGTGTTTCTGTTGCATTTTCTGTACTTATTAGTAATGGACATGGATTTGGGACTTCTGATGTACTTAGGCCCCCCAACTACATCATTTGTAGAGTATTTTATTTGTTGCGATGTGTTATTGCATAAACGTTTAACAGCAATAGAAATACAATTTGAATCTGATTTTAGTTCTTCATCCTTCTTAACTTCTGGTTTTTCTTTTTGCGATTTGTTTGTTAAATATAATTCCATTCTTATTCTGGAGTTCTGAGCTTCTTTTTCTTGCTCTAGTTTACTTTTCCGATTCTGAGAACCGCTAAGTTCTTTCCTTGGCATTGACATGGTCTAAATAAAAAATAATTTGCGACAGTTGCGGAAACAGAAGTTATTGAAGAAATAAAAAGACATTAAAGGCAATTACACACAATAAAAACCAGATTTAAACTTGATGAGGCTCTAAGTTATTTGAACACTGGGACCCTTTATAAGTCTGTTATGCTATATTTTAAATTTTGAGAGGGGGCCGTAACTGTAGCCTTATACGTAAATCCTGCACTGGTGATAGGGAAAGGGGAGTTGCATTTTTATATGCAGCTTGTAGGATTCTTCCCTGCGTAATTTTAAGTTAACGTTGAAAGTGAAGAATCTTAAGAACTGATAAGCAAATAATCGCTTGAGTTTGTGTGACAGGAAAGAACAAGATAGAAGGGTAAAATAATCCTTTATTATTAAAATAAGATTTAACAGAACTCCGTCTTGGAGTTGTACAATAAAGCCGACACTTGATCGTGAATTTTAGAAACTAAGAATTGAATTAAACTAATCTTAACTAAAGAGATATAGCTGAAGCTATTAAGATTCTAATTTAGTTGACCCCTTAACGCTAATTGATTGCGAAATTATCAAGGGCCTAAAGTACGGCCGAGCGTAACTATAGCTTAAGAAAGAGTAGCCTAAAAAGGCGCATGCGTGCTAACCAGAAATACTCTGGTATCGCTCTCACTAAGACAGTCAGAACTTCGTGGTTATAATACTGCTCTTCCTCATCAGCATTCAGACATGATTCTAAAACTATGTTCTGGCCGGAAGTAGCTAAGTTGAAGAATTAAGAAGCGATAGGAAAGGAAGTTTAACTCAAAATGTTAGCTGTTAATAAAATTAACATAATCCTTACAAGCTAGCTACTGCAGAAATTTGGGGGCTCTAGACTTGAAATAGAAATTCCTCTAAGCTTCTTTTTGACGCTGTGTGCTGCCATGGTTCACCCATTCCTGCCAACTTCGTCTAATAGTGGCATCGCTCCTGCTCAAATGTCGAACTATTCGCCGAGAAGACCAACCGGCTTCTTTTCACCCAACTACACGACCTCTCCCAAATTCTGACATCTGCGCATATTGTTTGCGCACCTGTATTCGAAGCATAGTTACTGTCTACTAGAGTACACAGAATGAAATTCGTCAAAAGTTTATAACCTGGAATCGTAATTTCTCCTTTTAAATATCCTGTCAATTGAGCAGATCAGATGCGCTGTAGCGACAACCGTTCATTCATTGATCATGAATTTATGAAACTAAAATTCAGCATATTTTGCAATAAAAGTGCAGCTTCACACTTGTGGTAGTAGTATCCTCTCCTAATTTTTCTAATAATTCTACTAATTCTTCCAGTTCTCCAACAATTGGCAGCCAAAATGTAAAATTTTGCATTTCCCGTCGAAACCTGTATGCATATCAATTTGTGTCCAATTTGCTTTATATCTTCTCGGTGCGTCGTGGTGCATCGGTTTTCTTGTCTAAGAGTGTAGTTCAAGGTCGAAGGGTTATAATATGAGACTGTACCATTTGTTATCGTTTTAAAATAAAAAGCGGGAGCTATGCATGCATTTCGTTAAAAAAAAACATATCTCTATTTTAGAAGAATAAAGTGGTCAGAAAAAAAACGTTTTGTATACGGAGATATTTGATTGACGTAATGCAAGCATAAACATTTATTACAGATTTTATCAGACAAATCAAGAAAATAAATGATTAATTATATTACAATAATTATTAATTTTAAATACATTTTCCAGAAATCGATCAAAATATAAACTGAAATTTTTCAGAAAATCTTGTTTGGAGACAATTTGGCGCCCCTCTGCGAGCAGCGCCTGGGGCATCATACACCCCTTTGCCCCCCCCCCCGTCGCTACGCCACTGGTTCTTGACCTTTCGACTAATGTGAAACTTTCTAAACAAAAATTGAAAAGCTTTAGTACCACCACATTTTACGTTTATTTTTCAATTTCTCAATAGAAATATTAAAATATATACATATTTTGCCATGTGCACAACCTATTGTCTATTTGTATTAAATATGAACACATAAAAGATATTACATTGAAAATTGGTTAGCATTTTAATTATCAAAATTTAAGTTATAACATTTTAATGCCAAAATTTAGTGAGCAATGTGGGCCTGTTTAACAGAGATAAATTTCTTATGTCTGGTCTTATTTCACTTAATTTTATTCATACATTAGTATCAACTTTTCATTTTGTTCTGTATTTATTTTTTAAATATAACATGTAAGGAAATCCCTATTCACACAAATAGGTTGTGCAGAAGGGCACTAAAAATTTAACAGCTTTATTTGAAATACCTTTAAATTCTTTTTTTTGGTTCAGCCGAAAGTTAAAAAGTGCTATTTTTTAAATAGATAGTTCTTCAGTTAGATTTTGATCGGAGGAAATTTCTATCAATTCTTTTTTTCATGACATAAAATTTTAGGGACATTTGAACAAAACGGATTTCTAATTCAATTCTTCTTTCATAATCCCGGGGAAAACACATGATGAAATTATTTATCAATGAAAAACAATGATTTTTAATGTTGGATGCTAATTTTTCTTTTATTTCCAAATTATTTTCAGTTAGAAAACTTTCTAAAAGTGGTAAAAAACTTAGAATCTTATTATCCAATTCTTTAATTATTAGCTCAAGTTTTTTTATCATTGCATTTATCTCTAGTGGTAAACAAATTAACACTTTGTCCTAGTAATCCTTTAACTTTCCAAAAATATTATGTAAATATGCTAAACGCATAATTCACTAAACATTTTGGCAATTCAAATTTTGAATGACAGAGGAAAATTTGAATTTTTGGTCAAAGTTCAAAAAGACGATTTAAAATTTTGCCTAAAGATAAACCACCTCACTTTGGAATGTAACAAAAGCGTTCCATATCCATTGCTCATCTCTTGGCATAAAATCTTAATATTCTTGAATAACAATTTTTATAGCTTGATTCAAAACGATTTTCAAGTTTTCAGTGATTGTTTTAGCTACTAAAGCTTTACAATGAATGGAGCAGTAAGTAATTAAATACAAATTTCTTTATTTGAGAAACACTGGAATGTTTTCCTATTAAAAACAGAGCTCTGTTACTGCATACTGCAATGCACTTACTTCTAGGAATATCATTCTCAGATATAAAATTGTCAATTACTTTGAAAATTTCATTTGCAGTTGCTCTATCATGAAGACATTCACAAAATAAATACTTTTCAGGCAAATCATTTATCTTTTTTGAAATATATGTAAACCAATAATTGAACAAAATTCATTATAGCAGTATGTTCATCAAACTGCAATGTGAAACACTCACTATGTTTTAATTTTTAATGTCTCTTTTATGGAATTTGCCATTTTGTGAATTTGTCAACTTTCTGTATTATTTGATAATGGAATATTATCAAGTTCATTAGCCTCTTTTTCATTGAATAATGTTAAAATGATATCTTTAGCAACTTCTAATATAAGGTTTTCTTCAAACAGTGTGAGCCGATAATTTCCTCTTAAAATATGCTTTTAATCAACATGCTTAGATTCAAGATATCTTTTAAGAAATAATGCTTTCAAACTTTGATTGGATAATAGTTCACCGCAAACAACCCATTAAGGTTGAGGGCCCATTTCATCTCCATTCCAAAAAAACCCAAATGGTAAATAACCTTCATTATAATTTCTATAAACAATTTTTCTTTTCAATATTCTTAGTTTTAGTAGATTGTCCTGGATCCATCACCTGTGAATCACTACTCTTCCGCTTAGTCAGTCCTGGTCATTTTTGATTTTGAAAATCTAAGTTTGTTTTATTTCTTGACAAATATTTAAATGCACAATTTATTACAAGTTCAAAAACAGACGATGATATTCTCAAATCACGTAGAAGAGAAAGGAATACAAAGCAACAAGAAGACAAAATACCTGTTGTTAGAAACAGCAAATCGATGTAAAAAAATGATTCCAATTGAAAATAGTGCAATATGAGCCCGAAAATGAAAGTGCAGACATGCTAGTAAATCGATCAACTCTAATGGAATTAATGAGGTACTATTATCCTTTTATAGGAACTTATTTTTATTTCCTATTAAATACAACATCTATTTTTATTACTTTTTTTAAAATCATCATTTATGACAAATTTTGTTATGTTTATGGCTAAAAGAATATTTGTGTAAATAAAAACTGTTACTTTGCTAAAGCCTATGAGCAGCTATTGATCTAGAAAAGCTCAGATACCATAAATTTAGTGTTAGTGAAAAATCTTAAGCAGGATGCTGGGGCAGTTAATAGTTAAAAATACTTTTTCTTTCTTTCTTTCTTTCTTTCTTTTTTTTTTTCTTTTTTTTTTCTTTTTTTTTTTTTTTTTGCATAACACCTATTTTTCTCTTGAGTACCACCAGTAGAGAATCACTGCTCTAAACTAATTAATTCTAGTATTCATACAAAGAAAGTACAGAGAGTAAATTATTACCCATCAGAAATTAATAATTTCATTTAGAAAAATATAAGATTATCTAAAATAATTACACCAATGGATTTACAAATTAAGCCAACTTATATTTACAAAAAGTGAATGCTGTTTAAGTCAGAAATAAGTGAAGAAATTATAATTTAAAATGTTAACATACTTTCTACAAGTAAAATTACTAGCGTCTTGAATTTAGGATTTCTTTTATTGTAAATAATATTTAAAGAAATTACTCAAAAACATACTGATATTTGATATCAAAATGACTTTGAACTCATTCTACCAAAGAAATCGAAATTTTAAATCCAAAATAAGCATGAATATCTCTGACAAAAATTAATTTATATATATGAAAACATGTACCAAGACTTTAAAAAATTACTGCTTAAGTCAGAGTGAATATTAAATTAATCTTTATTTGGTAATATTAACCAATTAAAAAGTCATTTAGCATTTATGAGCTATTAGACGAATAACATCATATTTCATTAGCATTAAAGCTAAAAATACCTATATTATACATTTATAATAATTTATATTATTTGTTAATGAACAAATAAATTGCTTGAACTTACATAACTCTCAATATTAGACATTAGAATAAGAAGATGTTTTTTGTTGTTTATGTATTTACGTATTCCCTTTTTAAAAAGACTTATCAGAAATAATGGAACAATTCCAAGTCAACATATTTAAAAGGGAAAAAATAATTATATTTTTTCTTTTTCAATCCTTATACAGTATGTTAACAAAAATGGAAGTGAAATATGGGTGAAGACAGAAGAAAAATTTTCTCAACTACTCCATGAACCAGATGACTAAGTATTTTATACCTTTTGAATATAATTCTTATCTATAAAATAAATGTTTTAAAAATATATTTATCTCTTTTTAAGCATAAAAAATAATATTCATTTCTTTTTTAATACAAAAATAATGGGAACATATTAATTACTTTTATTCGAAGCCAAAGAAAGAAATACTTCAAACATGAATAGGTCATTACGGCAGTCATGTGATATATTCATCACGTAAGGATAAGATTTTATGTATTTTATTTTGCATTTACGTCTAGATTTAAAAAAATTTTTTTTTTCTTTAGTTATGAAAGATAAAAGATCATCATAAAAAATAATTACTCAAACTTGAATTTAAACTACAAAATATCTTTAACTGGTGTTAGATTTAGATTAGAAAATTTGCATAGCTGAAATCCAATCAATGAAACTCAATAGTAAAATATTAAGATTTGTGATTAATTATTACCTGCCATTCACTCAAACTATTCGATTTCTACAGTTTTCAAAGACTCTAACCTGTAGCACAGTTTGTTGGCATGAATAACATTTTAAAAATTAAAATAAAATGTGTCTTTAAAAATGTGCATGAAATACATATTTCTCTAATTAAGCTGTCCACATTTAACTTTTATAACACTAAAATTGAAAAAGAAAAAATATCCCTTGTAGAATGATATGCATATTTAATCAGAAATTTTCATTTCACTACTTAAACAGAAAACTCACTAAATTTGTTTTTCAAGTGAATATTTTAAATCACAAATAATCATGCAAAGGGGGGGGGGATTAAACTCTAGATAGAGAGACAATATAATCACAATAAAAAATACTTCAAATTTATTTTTAAATTATGAATATAAAGATTTGTAAATAACATGTTTAGGAAGCTTAAGTTTCGAAACAGAGAATCTATTTCTCTAACACAGTTCTTCATTTGCCTTGCATTGAAGCCAAAAAAATTGAACACTGTGTCCAAAAAACAAAATCAAATACTAAGCACTTTTTGTATGTCATCATTCTGATATTTATACACCAAAAGGTAATGGTATAAGACATCTAAAACAGATTGAAAAAATAAATAGTTTTGCTCACCAAATATTAGTTATTAAAATTTACATAAAATTTTGTGTTCACTTAAAAACTCACATTGGACATACAAATGGAATTGTACATGATTTCTTTCCAAGAAAAGTAGAATGTATTTAGCTTCTAATATTTCAGCTACTATTCCTTTCAAAAGGATTTAAGTGGAATTCGAGATTCATTACTTAAATTCATAAAACTGCAGGAGATCAAATACGTATGTATTTAGTCACTCAACATTTAAATAATATTGAATTTAAATTTAATAAACAAAACTGAATTTAGATTTAATAAATACTACTGAATTAAAATCTAATAAATTAATTCCATACATGTAAATGATGCAGTAAGTGTTAAGGCAAAGGTAATTACTATGAAGAACTCTGAAAAACTTTTTGTGCTACACACTGCAGGAAGTTACATGTGAAGACTGCGTGGACCCTTCAGATTACGGAAAAAGGTTTCATTAATTGACTATTGCAATTCACAAAAAATATAGCATTAACGTAAAGCAATTTAAAAATATAAACATGAGTGAAAAAGTGTCTATTTTCCAAATGAGCTTAAGGCTAAGTCCCAAGCAAATAAATTCCCATATAAACTTATATGAATAATTCTTAATTCAAGCAAAACTATACACTCTTTTGCAAAATAATCGAAGCACCATGAAGGAAGTGGTTGTTTTTGATGAAATTGAATATGTGTATAGCTCATTATTAGGTCATAGTACCTGTTCACGGCTCACAATCACCCACTGAGTGTTCAAATCAGCAGTTGGATGAACTGCCTCTGGCGGCAATGTATGCTTCAATTCATCGAGGCAAGGAGTGGTAGAGGTTCCTAATGTAATTCTGCAAGGCATTCATCAGTTGTCACTCCAGATCTGCGAAATTTTGTGGTGCCCGAATATGGCGGCCTACCATGTCTTGGACATGCTCGATTGGTGAAAGGTCTAGTGACCTTGCTGGCCAAGGAAGAGTATCAACCGCATGGAGACAATCCAGAGATATGCGAGCAGTATGTAGTCTGGCATTATCTTGTTGGGAAATGGACCCAGGATGACATGCCATGAAGGGTGATTCAACTGGCCACAGGATGGTATCAACATATCGTTGAGATGTTAAAGATGTACGGAGGATGACTAAAGATGACCTGCTGTCATAAGAAATAGCTTATCACATGAGGGTTATGGCTCAATGCCTTTGTAAAACAAAAGCTGATTGGGACCGCTGGCCTCGTCCTCTCCAGACACGAACATGGTGGTCATCTGCTTCAAGAGTGAAGCAGGATTCATTGCTGAACACTATACAATGCTAGTCTGATGACAGCCATGATGATTGCCTGTGACACCATTCCAGATGACTCATACATATTTAAATTTTGCATTTGCAAAATTCCTTCACTTACTTGTGCTGAAAATAGTTTTTAAAAAAATTTCTACCTTATTTACAGATGCTCTATAATCAGAAGCACAATTTTAAAATTTATTAAATTATCATATACAATACTAGAGCCATATTGCTGATGTTGTGGGGTCAAAGGCCTCTGTGAGCGTAACCCCGCCTCAGACAAGCGCCGCTAGATGGTGGACGATACAACGGGAGGTATAAACATGGCTGTAGTGCGTTGAATAGTCGCCAATGATAGCATTGGGGCGGTTCGGACCTGGCGAACAATCATCCTCTCTTGCCTCGCATTTGTGCTCCTTGGCCTCCCAGAACCTTCATTTTGTCGGCAATTTCCTTGTAGCAAACATTGCTGTCAACATCTTTGCACAGCAGTATCTGTATGGTGCAAGTGGTGGCGTATTGCATGGTATGATTACCCAGCTTCACGCAACCTTACAATGCAACCACGTTCGAAGCCATTTAGTTGTCTGTAAGGTCTTCGATATCGTCATAATGGCATCTTTACGGAATTACAATGGCAGCAACGAAAAAAGATAAATTTTCCACCTCTGTTACTGGTTTTATACTTTGCGAACTGTGCACTAGAAATGAGAGCTATGATCACAACTCCTGATCATTTGCATGTTCGATCAAGATGTTTTTGCATACCAAATTTTGTCACGATCACAAAAGTCCTTCTTGGTGCTTTGATTTTTTTTGCAAAAGAGTGTATGTAATTGTTTGGCCTAAAAGTATCATTACCCCCCCCATTTCTTTCCCTTTTTTAAAGTTTTTTTTTTTGTTTTGTTTTTGAGGGTGAGAGGGCATGTAGAAAATAATTTCTGTTAAATTTCTTCTTCACTTTGCAGCAGATTTATGCATGCCAAAAGTTTGCAACTGTCAACAAATGTAATGTCAACAGAAAAGGTTACCATATTTTAATATAAAAAATTATCTAATGCATCTTGTGAATCAAAAAACATATATTACAGCAAGACCCTACTCTTCACTGCAGGGAACTAGATTCAAAAGTTTAACAACACAAATTCACAGATCCACAACTGGCTAAATTTCAAAACCAAAAAGACTCTGAATTTAACATGTGATATATGACGACAATCATTGGATGAATAAATTGATTCCAGTTTGCATACTATTTTCCTGGCCTCCTCACCTTTTGTAAAATTCACAGTGTTTTCCAAATATTCTGTAGCTGGCAGTTCCCACAAAAAAAAAAAAAAAATGCAGAATGCATAGCATAGTAGTTGGTGTCTATGTATTTCTACAACTATGTGTACACAGATCTTCTATTACCTATCTTCTCTAGGACTTTAGTGATGCACAAAGGAAGTTTAATTAAATTAAAATAATTACAGGAAATGTTCTTTACAGAATAAGAATGTTTTTAAAAATAATCATGATCTATGTACTTTTCAGTTTTCAGGTTAGAAATGTCTATAGGCATAATCTTTCCATTTCAGTGTCATGTTACACATATAATTACAGCATTCATCATCCATGTGCATTGCAAGTTTACAGTTCTAAAATGAGTTATCCATTTCCTGGTCATAAAAACCTCTTAATTCCTCATAATTAAATTTTAAAAACAGCACATTTTTTTATCTGTGTTAAAAAACTGGGCTATTAAAATAATATATTTACTAATAATTTATATAAAACAGTAATAAAAAATTTATGGATAATGTTTATAGCATTGTATATAATTTTTTTAAATATCTACACCATCATTATGAAAAGATGTTTTTAATAACATATTATGACCATGGGTATGGAACATTTGTTTTACTTCTACAGAATGTTAAAAAAATGTTACAGCAAACATTATTTCTTTAAAGAATGATCCTGGACATACACTTCAAATTCCTCAAATTAAGGCACAATTTTATAAAAATAATTTCAGCATTTGGTAACTAAGATTATTTAGACTAAGGCAAAGCATATGACCGCTTTCTGCCTGAAGTAAGGGATTCCTTCATGAAAGACTCTTCAATGAAAACTTGTTCATATTTAGGTTACAGATGGAAGAAAATGATAAAAACGTCCATGCAGTCAGCCCATTCATTAAACAAGACTGAACTAGCTGTATTCAGTGTATTTTACTACTTAGCTGGTAGTTAAGTCTCAGCACTTGGGGATAGGAGAGTGCTAAAAAACAAAATTAAAATTTTTATGAGATTTTTCTTACTCAGTTATCTCCTCGACTTTGTATGTTAAGAAAGAAGCTTCTTGTATTTGATTTATTTAAACATAATGAACAATTCAGTAGTTGAACTTTTTGCCCTATAAAGATCTTAGAAATATTTAAATTTTGCATTTGCAAAATTCCTTCACTTACTTGTGCTGAAAATAGTTTTTTAAAAAATTTCTACCTTATTCATAGACTCCAACTACTACGGATTCTCCGTAGTTTCTATGGAATCATAAACTACGAGCTACGAAAAGTATGGAAAAAACTACGGATTTTACAGAAACAAGAGCAGGAGAACCATACGCAAAACGGAACCAACTATTCATCCGATGATTGGCTGAATACTCGTGTTATCATATATCACGTGTTGATGCGTTCCTAGTTTGAAGAATTAGCCAATCCTAGATCGTAACTCCAACCGTTAAGACTATCAATGTTCCTCCAATTGTCTGTTCCCAGGTTCCTCGCTGATGCGTGTTTTAGCTGCATTGTGTAGTTTACGGCGAGAGCTTAGCGTGTGTCTTGTGAACTGTGATCAGGTGAAAGATTTTAATCATAACGCTGCTCGAACGAAGAAGCCAAAATTATCAAAGCAGAATTTAAAGATTCATATTCTTCAGAATTTCCATGCTTAAAGCGTCCGAAATTTCTGTGAATCACGACCTGCATGTGTATGCAACAAGACTCTCAGTTGCTCATGCGGAAAAGATGACTGTAAACGGCATGTGTTTCTCAAAAGCATATAGAGTTTTGGCACTGTAAAATTAAAGAAATAACAAATTTCTTAATAAAAGATATGAAACAGATCCTATAAAAGCCGAATGCTATTTTTTCGTTTTTAATTGACATAATCTACTGCTTTCTGTTTCGGATCATTCAAAGAGCTTTTCAAAGCAATGTTTCCGGATTCTGCCATACAAAAAATTTAGCTGCGGTCATACCAAAACTGCTGCTATTGTGAAAACGCTTGCAGAAAATACTGTTGCTGATATTATAAAATCAGTGTGCAGTACATCATTTTCTCTAAGTACTGATGGAAGTAATGATAACAATGATAACAACTGTACCAATTGGTTATACATACTACAGTAAAGAAAAGGGAGTGATAATTACTTCATTGATTTCTATTTTAGAATGCACGAATAATAAGGAGAAGGTATTTTAATTGTATAAATGAAACTTTAAAACAAAGGTTAGAATGGAAAAATTGCTTATCATTTTCTTCAGATAATGCTAGTATATGATTGGAAAGTTTAAAGGTTAGCATCATTTATCAAAATGCATCAACCAAGTATAATCACCGAGGTTGTCAGTGCCACCTCTTGCATATAGCTGCAAAAAAAAAAGCTACTGAAAAATTAATGGCTCAGAAATTGAATGTTGATAATAGATATATATTTTTTACTTGGAGAAAAGTTTGAACGGAAGCATAGCTTCAAAGTTGCTCAACAAATTTGGGACGAATACAAAATCTCATAAATTTTGAAATATTGCAGTACGAGATGGTTGTCTCTTTTAGAATCTAATAACAAGGATTTCGAACAGTGGGATGCTGTGATAAATTTTTTTGGAGATAAACCATAACAGTGAGAAGAAGGAAAGAGATTGCAAAACATTAAAAATTTTACAGTCACCGACCACCAAATGTACTTGTTATTTTTAAAATACTTTGCCTTTGTTTATAACAGTAAATATAAATTTGCAACAACAAGCTCTTATATACATAAATTGAGAGAGACTTTTTGAACTTTTAATGAATTTATTTGTTAGATTCGTAAACCATCAGTATTTCTAAGAAAATGAAGATGTTACTCTAAGTCTATTCCATTTCAGAAGTATAGTAAACAAAAGAAAATGAAAATTTATGATTGGTGCGGAACAAGACTATATTTAAAAATGCCAAGTTGATGAAAGTGAAGTGAAATCATTTTTCATTCCTGTGCGAGCTTTTTTTGTAACGCATGTTCATATATAATTGATAAATTTCCACTGAGTGATCATTTCTAAATATGCTGAATTGCTGACATCAACTTGAGAACTGAAGTCTCATTTTCATCTGTTCTTTACTTGATGAATACTTTTCCATCCATATTGATGAAAAATGTCTTAATCAGTAGAAATTGAATTTCCATGTATCAAGTAGAATGATTTGAAAGAAATTGTAGATTTGCGTATTGATATAGCATGGGGAGAAATTGCCAAATTAAAAAATAAATGGGTGTATTAAATACAAAGTATTGCCTTCTGTAATGCTGCTGTCTTAATAATACCTCATTCAAATGCAGGTTGCGAAGAATTTTTTCTATGTTAAAAAAATCAGACGGAATTTCGACCAAATTTAGGTCTTAAAACTCTTGAAGCAGTTTTGATTGAAAAAATAAATACCAGGCAAATGAAGACTGTGTTATAAAAAAAACATTCTCAAATCAAACTAAGCTTGCTAAGCATGCTACATATAAATCTTTGCATTCATAAATTATGCGTATTTTGTTTAATACTATATGATCATTCTGGTTATTTAAATTTATTTCCCTGTAGAAATCATATCCAGAATAAAGATATGATTTATAGCTTCTGATTTTTTCTATGATTAGTAGTGATTTGAAGTACTTTTTATTAGTGAATGCTTGAGGAGTTAAAAGAAATTTCTAATTAAATGTGCATATATTACAAGTATATTTTTAATTATTCATTTTTATATGGATATGGATTTTAAATGTAATAAAATTGATTACAATTAATTTAATTTAAATTAATGAATGGTTAATTACAACATACGCTATAACGCGCACATTTTCAAAGTTGTAAAAATGTCGTTCGCGCGTTGACTACTGACAAGGTTTGCTGAAGGTTGGAGTCTATGCTTATTTACAGATGCTCTATAATCAGAAGCACAATTTTAAAATTTATTAAATTATCATATACAATACTAGTGCAATATTGCATATATTCTTTCTAGCATAATATTTCTCTTGCTTTATTCTTAAATTACTGTTAATGTGTAAAGTGAAAAAAATATATATTATTTTGGAAGATTCAAAATTGAGTTGAATAAATGATGATTTATAGAATATGTTATGATATACCCATTACCTCATTTTTATTACTAAGCATTATGACCTAGTATTTATTGAAGAAAAATATGACAAATATTACACTTGGGCTTTTGCTATATTCTTGAATAAACTTGGTTAATTTTTATCCAAATAATTAATAAAGATATCATACTTAACAAATTTAATGGGCTTAATATAAATTCAATAAGAATATAATGTCATACTGATTTATTTTGCCAATTTCTGTTACAGTTCACACACACATTCATACAGACTCAGAATACATGGAAAAGAAAATGCTGAACAGAAATGACACTTTGAATAGCTGCTTTAATATTAAATTTTACACAACAATCCATACAAGTTTACATATATCCATTAAAGAGCAGAAAGATAAAATTAAAACATTTGTTACATTTTCTATACAATATATGGATGGCATATAAATATGTACAACTCACTGCTAATACTTTAGGATGGAATGTTTCCCTCAAAGAATAAAAAATAGTAATATAACTATAAACATGATTAGAAGTAACACTCCTATAGCTGTCCATTGTCTTTTATCTGCAAAATAAGAAACTTTCTATACCTATTTATTTTATATAAATAAACTATACATATTTCTACATAAATATATTTTAAAATATTTTGCAACATGAATGTTTCAAAACCAGAAGTAATTAAAAATTTATTCTTTGTTATCAACTATGAAAATTGATCACATTATATAAGGTATCACTTACGCTGAGCATAAAAATTCAGTAGTATAATTACAATTGACTGATAGGATACTGGGGAACTGAAAACAAAGGCAATGTTAACAGAAATCTATGTTAAGTTTAATTTTAGAGTCTGCACATTAAATTTTACATACATCAAACAACAAAAACCTTTTGGTAAACCCTTACATTGTTACACAAACATTGAAATTGAAAATCTAGAAAAGTTTGCAGTTTTTTAAATCTTCAAAACTTTCCTCTAATTATTTTGTTACTGTTAATAAGGAGTGACCTTGATCAATGCAGATGTTTAAATATTGTTCATGTTGCATATTTCTAGCATGAGTTGTGGCATAATTTTTGCTTCAGTGCAGTGCTAAGAAGAGATAACCCAAAAGCCAATTTTCGTCAGATTATTCTCTTTTATTAAAAAAAAAAAAGGAAAAATTGCTAGTCAGCTTGCTCATAAAATTTTTGCTGTATATGGAAAAAGTGCTGTTTCTGATGACACAATTATACAGTTCAGAAACTATCAAATAGAGTAAATATTCCAAACAGTATAGTACATGATCATTTGAAGAAGACAAAGCTACTATGATGTATAGGTACCCCATACTTTAGTGGATACTACACAATAACACCAAAAGAATCTCCTTTAGTAACATCGAGAAGGGGGGCTACATCCCCAAAATGTAACACTTTGTGTACAGTGGGACTACAAAGGAAATGTATATTATAAACTGTTGAAAAAAATCTGACAATAAATTGCGAAAAATACTGTTCCCGAATGCAATTTCTAAAACAGAAATTAAAATAAAGTATCCAGAACTGACCAACTGTCAAGGCCTTCCATCACAACAATGCTCATGTGATGCACCTTCCATCATGATATTTTGATGAATGTCAGATAAAGATTTATTCAGTATGACTAGAATGTTTTGTATCATTCCCTGCATTCATCATCAGAACTTGCCCACTCATATTTTCATCCCTTCAGAATTCTCTGAAAGGCCGTAAGTTCATTTCTTTAGTGCTTAATAATCAAAAGAATAAACATAGTGACTTTTCTAAAATGGGAATTTTCCAGCTGCTGGAGAGATGGCGAAAAGTCTTAAAACAAAATGGTGCTTACGTGATGCAACGAGATTTTCTTATACTGTTGTACTGCTTCATTTGTATGTATAATAACAGAACTTTCCAGATGACCTAATAAAAGCTAGTGCATGCAAAAACTGGCACTCATTCTGCTCATGAAATGTTACATATAAAAACTCATGAATGAGCTCTTCAACAGAGCTACTAAGGTTCATAAAATATTTCTAAGGTTGGTCATTACTTTAGTGAACTAAGATGTGGTCATTACTTAGTAAGAAAAAAACTAGAACTACCATGAAATAAGGCACTACAGCAGTTCATTGTCAATAAAGATGAGGAAATGGTATCCTGCTTGTTACAAGCATACTACTATGGAAAGACATGAAAGAAAATATTACAATGTAACTTCTTAGTTTCAATAATTAAAATAAAAACTACAATAGCAGTGATGTGTGGGTCTATGAAGCGACAGGACATTCTAAATACTCCTGTAAACTTCATTTCATTATAATGAGCACATACAAGGTGTAACACACACACACAAAACAAAAACAAACAAACAAAACAAAACAAAACAAAAACAAAAAAAAAACAAAAAAAGAGAGAGAGAGAGAGACCATGTGTGTAGCTTGAAAAAAGAGTGGAATTAGCAACAACTGTTTTGGTGATGTCATCCCACAAACCTCCTCTATCCATGCGGCCAGTTTCGACTTAACCGATCACACCAGTTGGGAGTACTGTGTCACTGAGTGAACATGTGTAACTGCATTCGGCCAGAAAAAATGTCTAATGTAAAATCCGAACAGCGAATCGACATCACATTTCTTGTAAAACTTAAGTAAATCAGCCACGGAAACATTTCAAAATGTTAACTGAGGCTTATGGAGATGAAACTTTGTTTCGTAGACACATGTGTTTGAATGGCATATACGCAGGTTTTCAGGGGGAAGGGAAAAAGCACGCATGGGAAAATCGAAACTCAAAGCAGTGTTAATTGTTCTTCGACATCAATGGAATTGTAATGAATGAGTAACTTCCCAGTGATCAGATTTTTAATAACTTTTAATCAACACTACTACATTGAAGTACTAAAAAGACTTCAATGTAAAAAAAATTAGGGGAAAAAGTTGTGGAGTGATGGATGGCTGTTGCACCAGAACAATGCACTCGCTCACACGGCCCTATTAGGGTTGCCACCTCTTCCGGAATTGAGCCCTGAAAATTAAAATCTCCCGGCTCCCGGAAGGAATTTAAAATAAATATTACTCTCGCGGAATATCAAGTTTCCTGAAAATAATGATACAATGTGCATGCATGAAATGGTTGACAACATTGAAAATTACACGACCATGTACAACAGCCAAAGAATGTCTATACATATTTTCTCTCCAGTAACAATCTACGGTGAGCGGTGAGTAAGCATCTTGCTGATGAGTAGTGGAACCGGCGTGTCACGTGCACGCCCCCTCCACCCTCTCATTTTCAATCCTTTCCTTCATTTAGTCTGCAGTCAGCTAGCTATCTACGAACAAGTGCGTATTTTGAAATTATTTAAATGCTTTCATAATAATGTCTAGTGACAAAAACGATTCTGATTCAGCAGGTAAGAAGTGCCACAAAAAAAAAAGTATTTGACGTTGTTTCAAGACAAGTTGTTAACTCAATTTAATTGGCTTATGAAGAAAGACAACTTTAATGGAGAATGTAAATTATATCTTAAAATATTTAACATTAAGTACAAAGCTGTTAGAGCTATAACTGTACATTCTCAAAGCAAGAAACACCAATTGTCAATATTGAATAGAGATTCATCGTAATCAGTTTCGAACTTTTTCGTGAAGAAATCTTCAAGAGAAGAGGACAATATATCAGCAATCGAAATTACTTCAGTCATCATGGGATTAAGCACCATCATAATTTTAATAGGCAGGATTGCATAAGCAAATTGTATATAAGGTTTGTACACATTTCTGCACACAGAAATTAAGGACTTTTAAGGACCATTAATGAAAAAAATTAAGGACCTATGAGCAAATGGGAACCAAATAAATTCAATTAAAAACATTATTCTATGCCTGAATTTCACTTTTGTAATACCATCCTAAAAATAAAATAGGTCCCTAAGTAGTATGCATTATTACTAAACATGAATTAATTAACATAATTATCAATAAGTTTGAGAATAAAATAAACTTCATGCAGTTTATCAAGTAGCATTAAATATTTTACACTTAAAATAGGTTGGACACATTTGAAAGAAGATAAGTGACATTTAAGTTTTACTAATAGTTAGCTTAATGTTGATTTTTTTTTATGTTTCATTTTGTCACATACTTGGTCAGTCTAGAGCAGAGGTTCTCAATTGGTGATACGCGTACCACTGATGGTACACAAGGAAAAATAGGTGGTACACAAAGAAGAGAAGTATTTTTAACTATTTATTTCAAAAATTAAAACCCCAACATCCTGATTGACTTTTTTTCTCTAACACTCGTAAATTTATGCAATATGAGCTTTGTTCAAGAGTAGTAGTGGTAGTGGTGGTAGTAGTACTTTGTAGTGGTGGTACTAAAGGTTTTCAATTTTTGTTTAGATGGTACACGTTAGTAAAACAGTTGAGAACCGCTGGTCTATAGATTTAGTAAATAGAAGGTTGATTTTATGTCAAACGGCATAGGTTAAAATGAGAAGTAAGATCATAATCAGCATGATTCATAACAAAAGACTGAATGTTGTCACCGCTTGTCTAGAGAGAGACCTGTTGATTAGAACAAACCTGAAAGGCCTGATGTAGGCACAGTTGGCAAGTGCTGAAAGTTAATCAGGCTCTGTTTGATGCAGTTAGTGTTGTAGCTTCGTGTAGAATTCCAGGAATTGTAACCCAGTTAATATACTTTAAGGTCCCAACAAGCCATTAAAGCACCAGACGTGATAAGTTGTTTTGTATTATTTTAAGTCTCACTAGATGCAAAGAATAAGTTTTACTTGAATTTCTACATTTTTGTGGTTTATCGTATTAATGAAAAGCAATAACTCGCTTTAATATGTAGAGATAATTTTTAAGGGTAAGCAGTTAGTTATAAATAACTAAATTAGGTAAATAGGTAACCTTAGTCATTATGGATTTACATGGCCACTATTAAATTTTATTTTTTAACAATATTTGTTAAAAAAGCCCTATTAAAATCTAATAAAATTTTTTAAATACATGTAATTTATGACACTGATTCTTAAAGGATATTAGAATAATTACACATTAAAAGCTACAAAGCATTTATGTTTTGTAGCAACACTCAACAAAATATTTATCCGTCATTTTGATTTGAAGCTTTCCCAAACATTTTGGCTAGTTTATATCAATTTCCTTCTCTTTAATCATCTTTTCTAACAATAATTAGAGAATTGTCTCAATATGCAAACCAATGCTCTCGCTAGTTTCTGTGTGCTTTATCTCCTAACTTGTCAACCTCTCCACAATGTACCTATGAGAGTTTACTTGATCTGGTAAAAGTTAACTAGTCCAAAACCCTCAATAGACGAAGCAAATTATCACTATACCTGAAAGTAACTACAATATCAGACAAAGGTTTAAATAAGCCTCTTATTTAAAAAGAACTTAAAACAAACATAAAGACATGTTCTGATGCTAACAAAGTCAATTACATCTCACGGTGACGTAATTAAACAAGAACAGTCAAATCCAAACTAAAAATGTGGAGTAGTGGTCGAAGATTATACAATTTAATTAAA